CTATGATTCTATGATTCTATGAAGGGCAGATAAAATATAATGATGTTGATAATTAACTATCAATAAAAATGCAACACATCCCAATTAAAAAACCTTCTGCAATAATGCTGAAAGAGGCTTGGTGCTTCTCTGTTGGCAGAAAAAGTGCAGCGAGGGGGCCAAGCAAGACTCCCTCAGGAGATGTGGGATATAAATGACATTGCTTCTTGCTTTTCTGACAATTGGTCCCAAAGCAGAAACCAAAGAGACTTTTCTGTACTGTCTTCTGGAGTTACTAACCATGACAGATAAATGGAAGATGGATATATAGATGCCAACGTAGATCCCAATACCATATGTCAGAGAGAGGGAGTGGCCTTGCTTGTGAGTTTCCAAAGACATGTGGGGAGGGGGGAACTAGTAGATTAGGTGCGTCTTGGTCTAATCCAGGGGTAGGCAACCTTTCCCCTTTAAGGGCCGAGGGACTTAAGCTCCCAGAAGCCTCAGCCATGTTGGCCAATAGTCCCATGTTGGCCAATAGCTCCTGGGATTCTGAGAGCTGAAGTCCCTTGGCCCTTAAAGGGGAAAGGTTGCCTACCCCTGGTCTAATCCAACAAGGCATGATGGTCATCATTTACTCAGCATGTGCTATTTTTTGATGACATTCAGTTTCTAGAGTGAAATAAGCATACAGGTGTCGCATATCTCAGGTTGCAACCCATCCTTCTGTGCCAAAGACTAGAATCTTTTCCTTTCATAGGTGCATAATCTTTTCGGAGTTTGGGAGTAACTAGTTACAGACTATGTGTTTCTTGCATATAATTGCTTTTTTAAAAAAAATAATTAAGTCATAACTAAGTTACATTAGAAATGTAACATAATAAAAAAGATAACATAAAGTTTTATTGCAACTGATTTTGTTACTTTTTTAGTCACAGAATGTACAAGGCTTCACTACTTAGGTGTGAGTCTGTGTGTTTTACCACAGGCTAATAACTTCAGTTCTGTAAAAATTCAGTTTCTGTAAAAATAACTTGTAATTGCTTTTGAACAATGGGATGGAATAGCTGCTCAAAAATTGTAATTATGATCATTAATTTGGGAGACCTCAGAACTGTAACTACAGGTATCCCTCCCAATTTGCATGGGATCTGTTCCAGACCCTCCCGCACGCGAATCTGGGGAAACACAAATATTGAAGTCCCCATTGGTTAAAATGGGGCGCATTCCCACACATGCCACGGTGCATGTACCATTTTGTCCCTCCCCGCTTGCCATCCGCAAATGAGCAAGACTGCAGACTCCAAATCCGTGAATGGGGAGAGACACCCTGTACTTTAAAACTAATGTTTCTGTTTTGATTCTTCCTGCACTTCAATGAGGATTCAAGGATAAATCCTTAAGAGCAAGAATCCTCAAAGGATTTTAGTACTTTATATATTTTTCCACATATAATTTCTAGACTTCTGTTTAACATAAATTTCTTAGGGCACATTAAGTCGATAATAAAGGTACAATAAAATTGTCAGAGTAAAAAAGAAAAACAAAACAGAAGCACCAATGATTAAACGAACAGAATATAGTTTAGCTATACCAGAAAATAAGAATAATTTCTGAGCAGACTAAATGACCAGATTTTAACAATCTTCACCCAGTACCATAAGGTCAATAGGCTTTACATCAGGTAAACTTTCCCGGGGAAGACATTCCACTGAGAAAAATGCCAAATGTGTCAAGTATGAAAGACCTTCTGTCTTTCACTTTGCCTGATTCTGAAATAGAGGAGAAATAGAGTTAGGTGTTCTGAGCATACTGAATTCCAGATAACCTCACTTAGTGGTTTCAGGCAGGTGTTAAAAATTGACAAAAGACAAGATTTGTGGCCCTGAAGCATAAATGGCACAAAACCCAGTAGTAATCTTCCACAATCATGCTTTGGAATTGTCAAGAACAGAATCACAGACACAGTGC